AAAGGGCACCATGTTGATCCCAAGTGTGTACTTTGCCCCCTAATTCAAGGGCAGCGGGTAAAGGGAGAAGTGACTGCAGTGGGGCATCTTGACTGCCGTGAGATGCCCCTGAAAGGAAAACAAGGGAAATTTGCACAAGAAAAAAAGAGCAAGATTTACCATTGTCATACAAGGTAACCATGACAAAATATGAAAGCTCAAACTGGACTCTACTCAGGCATCCTGTGCTGAAGTATATGCTCTGGGTTGCCTGCAGGAATAAACTGTACCTTTTTATACCAGTTAATGGAGTGATATGCCATCAGAGGTGGGAAGGAGACACAATTTCAAGATGAAAAGTTGAGTTGAGATATGTTATTATAGAATCATGCAGTTGTTTGAGTTGGAAGGAACATTGAAAACCATCTGGTTCCAACCCTTTGCTGTGGGCAAGAACACTTTGACTAGATCAGGCTGTCCAACCCAGCCCTGAATGCCTCCAGGGTTGGGGGACCCACAGTTTCTCCAAGCAGCTGTGCCAGTGCCTCACCAATATTGCTCTGTTCTCCTGTGGACTTCCTAAGTCAGTCCTGTTCCATTACCAACCTTGATTTGTTGTTGCATAAAATACTTCAGTGGAAATACCCAATACTGAAGAAAATTCTGTTTCATTGAAGTTTATCTTACCTGGTGAGAAGAGTTGTCTTTGAGGCTCAGTTCACTCAGTTCATGTACGTCCAGTGTCTCCAGGCTTCCCCAGGCGAAGTGCAGGCAGATGGCAATGTGGCTGAGGCACCTGTGCAGCTAAGTCAGTGGAGCTTCCCCTCACCTAGGCACCCCATAATATCCCTATTCGTGGTACACTGGGCCTTGTAATTGTATGAAGCACAAAGAGCTTAAAGCTTCACCATCCTGATAGTGACAACATCCCCAAATCTTTCCTGTGTGCCCATGTGTGCCTGCTACCAAGCTTTGAGCACTGTCACTGACCTCGGTGGAAACCTGCAGTGTGTGTACAAAGGTAAGTGTATCCTTCAGGGAACGTTCCGGATTTGTGCTTAAAAGATGACTTTTTAAAAGAAGTTATCTGGATAGGCATGAAAAAAGGCTGGTAAAAAAAAAAAGAAAAAAAGATACTAAAAATCTGATGTTTAAACTTTGGCAAATGTTGCCTGTTGCTGAAGGAGTTTCCCATGAGAAAATGGATCCTGTACTGACTTGTAATAACAAATAGAGATATTTGCAGTCCCCCAGATTTGAAATGTAAAATATAGTTGTTAAAGGAATTGAACTGTTTCTATTTTCTTCAACTGCTGTTAGACGTGTAAGAAATTTGAGTATATTTTTAACAAATCCTGATTTGAGGTAGGAAAAAAAAACTGGCAATACTTCAAGACTATCATCTTTTTTTAAAGTCTACAAAAATGGCAAAATGAGCTTCAAGGGATCAATGTAATGCACAGGTCAACCTGGGATCTCTAAAATATCAGAATTGTTTTTGTGCAAAGACTTGGAATTTTACTATGAAAATCCAAAATACGTAGCATGTTGAGCTGCTGCTTTACCAGAGTGGTTAAATAGGTCAGACAAGGGAAGAATTTTGTAATTATATTTTCCGCTTTTGCAACAATTCTCATGTCCTTAAGGCCGTATATGTTGAGTTGAGAATAAGAGATTATAGATAAATGAATACTTAGAAAGAGATTGAACCATAACATTTACATTTTCTCTCTTATCTGATCTGAGGGTTTTGCAATTGCTGGATTAGTTAACCCTCTCTCATTCATGAACTCATATTTGACAGAGCAACAGGAATGTTGATCCATTGTTTCTTAGCATCACATAATGGGTTTGACTGAGCAGATCACTTTGGAGTTGTGACATCCCATTCAATATATGGTTTTTGGTTTTTAGAAGAAGTTTATTTCTGGGTACTTCTCTGAGAATGAACTGTTCCTAGTAATTTTAAGGGGATGGATCAAAGGATTGCGATGTTCTTGGTTTTTTGGTAGGTGGGTGCTTGTTGCACCATTGGAATCTTGTTCTCTCTGCACACCCTTCTACATATCGTAGAGGGGTTCTTTTTATTAATTACTAGTATGAGTACAGCCTGGGATTTTAATAAGATGAATGGAGTCATTTCTTTTCCTCCACTGAATAATATTTTGAGTCAGTTAATATTTGTACTTTTTCAGCCCAGATTTTTGTTCCTATGCATTTCAGTAAGCAAGAACAGCAACAACAGGAATAGCCAAAACTGAATTTAGAATTGCAGTGATTGAAGTGGATGGCTGCAGTGTAATTCAGCTTATCTACCTTTAATCATTTACACACACCTATTTACCTGAGGCTGCCTTTATAGCCAGTGGGAAGAACTGTCCCCTGTACATGGCTATTTCACTTCACTGACTTGAAATGTCAATCCAGGAGACTATCCTGCATGCGTATACCTGTATTTAATCAGATAAATAACTTTTATTTAGACAATGGGTGCATTTCCAAACAGGCTGGTTGACTACTGGATACAATAAAAACAATTGACCTGTGAGATATTTTTCAACAAATAGTTTGACTCCTTCATACTTTTCATACTTTTAAGTTGTAGTGTGTTTTCAAGGAATTGGTAACGAAAGTAAGTCAGTTGTTTGTAAAGCACTTTTTCTTGAGTAGGCAGTGGGTGATAAGCTATCTTACCTAATTTTCCATTAGGACAGTGCAGATTCTTCTACATCTGTTTGCGTTATATTTTGTCTTTTGTCATGTATGCTTTTTTTTGGAAGCAGAAGGTAAATGGACAACACTTTCTGAAGCCTCTTTTAGAAGTCTCTTTAGGCTACTCTTTAAAATCCCCCTTGATTCTGCAAGTTACAGCTCTTCATGGAGTAGCAAAATCTGCAAGACAAGAGTGAAGCATGGCTGTTTCCAGTGACTGAAAGCTGCCTTGTGGCTGTAGGAGGGTGTATCCAATCTGATTGAGCAAGTTCTTTGTGAATTTCCATTCTGAGATCCGTAGTTCTTCTCTAATAAAATGCTGTCATAAAGACCACTTTTGAATGCCTCCCACAGGCTGGAGATGAGATTTTGAGACAGAAGTCTATTTACATTAAAAATGTGTACTATAGCAGACCAAAAATAATAAGGCTTTATGTAATATTTGAGTTTTACAGTGTTTTTCTTTACATTAAGTAATAGATTACTCCTAAAATAAGTAATAATATATTCTCAGAAATATAGTTGTATGAGTTTAGCTGGTTTGTCATTCAGCCCAGGTTGGAAATCAGCCTCGTGGAGGTAGCCAGGACAGAATCTTGAGCTGCTTGACCTCATCTGGGATTGTTTGGTGATGTTTAACCTTTGGCTGCTCGCTCCTTATGATGGATTTCGCTGCAGTGCTTTTGAAGGAAGGGGGAGGAAGAGAGCCCGACATGCAGTGTGAACTCTCATCCTTTTGGCCTTAGTGGAGCTTTTTGGAGACTACTTTGCTGGCGTATTCTCTTTTAGGAGCTGCTGGGTGGAGACTGCAAAGACTGAAACTTTGTGTGGGATCACATGATAGATGTGGGGTTCCCCTCCTTCAGTGATGAGGCAGAGATATCAGAAGAAAGAATGGTGAAGGCTCCCCATCAAGTCTATTAGTCCCCATTGATCCTGTATGTGCATTGATATTAAATGTCGTCCTGTGGATGGCAGTTTTCATAACATCAGCTTTGTATTCCTAAGTTTATCTCCACTCTTGGGTAGGTTTGGAGCTGAATGGAACGTTGTTCAATGTTTAGGGGGAGCCAACTCATCTTTTAGTTTTTCAGTTGGAGAAAATGCAAGTAGCTACTTAATCTGTTTTCCACTGAGCTGTACTACCACACTCGTTCACTATCACTTGCAATGTGTAACTACACAGACATTTTCAACTTGTACTATTACTTTTTCAAGCAAATACTTCAGGAACTGTTCTTTTGCCCATTTTATAAGATGGTAAATGAACAACAGAATGATGTGTTAACATAATTCAAAATGCAAGGAGAGAGAAAATGAAATCCTTTTCTTGCGTGTGTATGAGAAATGAAATGGTTCCCTTGTAAGTATGACCATCCTTTCAGCTCAATACTTAGTGAGAGGGACAATACACTTAAGCTGGTTCTTTTGGCTTACATCTGTGGGAAGTTCCTTTATGGAGAATGAGAAGCTCTTGGCCTTGAAGCCAGTAGCTGCCTTTTTATAGTTACTAAGAGCCATAAAAAGAGCAATATTTGTTTGATGAGATCCTAGACATAATGGGAATCATAGGTATGTAATAAGGTTGTCTGCTGGACTATGTCCTTTTCTCTCTTTCATGTTCTGAAATACTCTGTAGGGATGAAAATAGGCACCTTGCTCAGAGAAGTGGTGGGAGAGGCCTTCAATAAAAATGTGCAATGCTTGTGAACTTTCTAGAAGTGGGAAAAAGTTGTTAAAAGGCCACGATCAAAACTTGCCAAAGTATCTAGTGCTTGAGGGGAGCATATGTGGCAAGGGTGAGGAGGATTGAGGTACAGTGTTGATAATGACAGTCCTAAAATACCAACCTGTGCAGCCATGTGGCAGCAGTCAGAAAGCTGGAAAACTTAAATGCATTTTTTTAGATTGTTTAAGACTGTAAGTATGTGATCATGCATTTAAATGTGTGTTCTAAAATTCTGGTAAGTGATAGCCAAACTCCAGGGTCTTACAAATAGGTTCCCATTAGGATGAATAGCTAATATGAGATCATATTTATTTTAATTATAATGCTTTTTTTTTCTAATATTGAAATGGGTCACCCCAAACATTATGTAGACAGCAATTAATGTTAATTGGCCTATAAGCACAGAAAATAAACCAGAGAGCTCTCAAAGCAGCCCACTGTCAAAAACTATCAACATAATATTTACTGGAGGGCTGAAAACACATTAAAACTGAGGGAACGAAAGGAAAGGCAGTGTGAAATTACGTGCACTGACACTCGTGTTTCGGACAGTCTTGAATGTGACCTTGTGTTCCTCCAGCATGCCAGGCAATGGGGACAGGAATGATGCTGAGCTCCTGGGCCACCTCCTCCGTTGAAGAAGTTGCTGAAGCAGCTCCTGGAGGCCTTCGCTGGCTGCAGCTTTATGTGTACAAGGACCGAGAGGTTACCAAGTCCCTAGTGAAGCGTGCAGAGAGAGCAGGTTACAAAGGAATCTTTGTGACTGTGGACACACCGTTCCTCGGAAGGCGTATTGATGATGTGCGCAATAAGTTCCAGCTTCCTCCCCACCTCAGGTAGGTGCCTCCAATTGGGGTGTGGGGTGAGCATGCCGCAACGCAGCCTGTCTTCCAGATGACACACACTGAGCTTATGTACTTTGCTGTGGCTTACGGGCAGAAGTATGCTATCTTAGTATTTTCATACAATGTAAAACTGTATGTCAGGCTGCATGAGGCTGCAGACTGGCAAAGTTAGTGATGAGGCATTTCTTTGTGTGTCTGGTAACTAATCTTTGGGCACCTTCAAAACTCAAATGGGCACAATCCTCTGGAATCTGCTCTGCCTTTGAAGCTGAATCCAGCTGCAGGGTTGACCATGTTCTGAGCAGGAAGCTGGACTAAGTGACCATCAAAGACTTCTCCCAATCAATGACACTGCAGTGCATCTGGGACCATGTCAATACTGAATGTGGAGTCTCTTTCCAAGCAACTTCAACTGCCCTTTTAGCCAAGTACAGAAATGGGGGGGATCAGCTTTCTTGAATATCACACAATCAATCCACCCCTACATCTCTTCTGGGACTTTTTCTGTATCTCAAGGAAAAGCTAAAGGTCTCTGCACTAATTCTGGTTTCTCATTATATCAGGGCCCATGCAGCATTTAACTTAAAATAGAGTTCTCCAGCAGTGTTCTGTGGGTGCTGATGCTGGCCTGATTTCACTGCATCCTGCAAACATGAATTAACATACTGTAAGGTCACCCTGAATAATGTTTGCTGAAGTGCTGGCACAGTGTTAGCACTCAGTCCAGCTGGAACAGTAAAAGAATGAATGGGATACGCAGGATTTTTGAATTTGCAAAATGGAGCTAAGAATCTTCTGCTTACAAGGACCTGATATTGGCCACAGTTGGTCATGATATATATAGACTACTGCCCTTATTTAGAATCTGTAAATGAAATCAAAATGAAAACTAAAAAAGGAAAGAAAAAGTAAAATATAGTTGAAAGTATCTTGAAGTGGATTAATTTTGGTTTGAGTTCTAGGTGAGAGCTAGTTTTGAATATTATTGATGAATCTGAAGTGTTCTTCCAGTGTCTCTCACAACTGTAATATGCTGCATACATACTGTACCTAGCATGAAATATAGCAAGAAATACAAAATATATATTTTTAAAAAATGTAGCAAGAAATATAAAGCCAAATCCTAAGTTCCTTCATTTTCATAATTTTCGTTTCAAAGATAAACCATGGGACTGTACCACCATGGGGTGTCAGGTACCCTGCCCCAATATGCCAGTACTTGAAGCTAATGGGTGAAGTGGTAAAGATAGGCAGAGTTAAGGGTTCTCTCAACGATTTCTGCATAAAAGGACCATCTTGTGAGGAAAGTACCAGAATACAAAGAATCCTAACAAACTTGGCAGTAAAAAGTAATGCACATATCAGTGCATATGCATATGCCCCACTTATTAGTCTGCTATAGATCTTTTACTGACAAAGCATCATTGATTGTCTTTACCCAGGGAGAGTTGCTTTAAATAGTTTTTTGTTTTTTTTTTTTTAGGAGCAGTGTCATTTTAAGACCTGGGGTTATAGAGTTTCTGGATGAGAGTCAAATAACGCAAAATATTTGAGAAAAGCAATAGTGCATTTCTGACACACTTTGACCCCACTTGACCTAACAGTAACAGTTTTGTTTGAGTGAACCATACGGAATAATACGAAGTTGGAGCGATCTTTTAAGGTTCAAAATCCTTCAGATTTCAGAATGGCACTCAGTGTTTTGTTGCGGAGTCAGTGGTGAAACTCGGTAGTGTGGGGCTCTGCTCAGTTACTTGATAACTTTTTCTTGGCTTCAGAATTTCAACAAAGTTTCAAAGCAACAACAAGGTGCCATTGTGCTCCAAAATGTATGTAAGGCAACATTCATTCAAGTGTTGACCTGCATTTCACAGTCCAAGAAAAACAACGTTTATTTATATAATCTTATCCATGGTTCTGTTTTTCTCTGGGTACCCCACCCTCCACAAACCAACAGCTGAAAAGCTGGATCTTGCTGAGAGCCTGCTCCTTTCTCATTTTCTTCTTTGCTTGGAGTTGAACAGAAAACCCAAGTGAAATGTTGCTTGTTACAGGCATGAAATCAGCAGTGAAACTAGCCAGTTTCCGTGCAAAAATACTGTGTGTTCCCAAGATGTGGAATATGAGTATAAAATAGCACAACGTGAATTGATGCGCAATCTCCAAAGCATGGAGCAGTCAACACAGTGTGGGACATCGGAGTCCTGGGTTGTACTGGTGTCACCAATGATGATCTGGTGCTTGAAAGCACTTGGGCTGCTTCAGTTTCTAACATAAATGCAGCCTCAATTTCTCTGTATGCCCTCATTTTCCCCCTCCCCTGTTTTGTCTACTAAGACTGAACTCTGGTTCAGGGGCTGGTGTTTGCCATTCAGTTCCTAGAACTTGTGAGGTTGATTTGGTGATAATAAACAAATAATACCGAGTGTTTTCATACAAACATTTTCCTCTACATTTTGTAGGCAAATGTACAAAAAAGATGAATTGTATACAAGAACTATTGCCTGGATGTTCGTCTTGTCAGTTAGATGAAAATTCTAGTTTCTTTGCCAGAGTTCATGCAGACCCATCTAATTTAACAGAGTTTTAAAAAATGTCCCTTTTCCTCTCCCATCTAGGTAGTCTCCTATTTACTCCAGTAGCTGAATTCACTAGATGAAAAACGAAAGCAAAGAGAATACTTGTTGCAAGAAAGCCAAGGAGATTTTTTGCCACAGATAGTGGATAGTAGAGGTGCACCTTTTAACTTCAGTGGGAAGTGAATTATATGTTATGAAAGACTGATATTCCCTCAGCAGACACATTCTCTGCTCCTCAACGGTCTGGATGGCCTACAGCCTCTGCTGTGTTTATCCTCACAGTGCTCCAGAAAATGTGGTTGCTCCTATTTTATGATGGGAAACAGGCAAAGGGAGTGACCAAATGTTCAGCCCAAAGTCACAGAGGATGTCTGTGGCAGGATGAATGGTTGAACCCAAACCCTAAGTTTCATCTTTGGGTTTTTCCTTTCAGTTGTAGATTTGATGCTGAACCTTTAGATTTTGGACTTTGTCTTATTTCCTTTGAAAGCATTAGGAGGGTTGCCTTGGGCCAGTGAAATTTGCAACAAAGTTATCAAATATTTCTCAAGGAGGAGGTTTTGACTTAAAAGAGTTCAGAAATAAAATACTGGGTAGGCTTTTTTACTTCTGCCCCGTATAATACAATGCACATTTAATGCAGATGTGTTGAGTGCTGACACTAAGGACTGATATTTTATGGCTCCAATAAATATTTCACAGACTGTTTTATATGCTTTTTGTCATTTTAGGTTAAAAAATTTTTCAAGCAACAACTTGGCCTTCTCCTCAGGGCAAGACTTTGGGGAAAACAGCGGACTGGCTGTCTATGTAGCCAACGCAATTGATGCAAGTATCAGTTGGAAGGACATCAGATGGCTTCGTCGGCTGACATCACTGCCCATTGTTGTAAAAGGAATCCTAAGAGGTGTTGTAGCTCTACTGCTTTTCCATGGAGAGGGCAAGGCATCCCTTTTTGCAGGGGCAATAGGGAAAAAGAAGTGCTTGTGCTGCTGAATTTTCTGTAGAATTGCACTACATTTCAATGGCAAGCATCTGTTTTGCTTACATTAAATATGATGGGTTGTACATTCGTATTTGTATACTGTGCTAAGCAGGGAAGATTTGCCAAAGTAGATTGCAAAACAAAGGAAAAAGTTCTCTTCCTTGTGCATGATTAGGATGTGGAAGATTGCAGACATGACCAAATGTCCATTTGTTTTGGTTAGGATCAATGCAATATGAACTGGTGAGGGTGATTATTGTGCTGCCTTTGTGCATTAGCTTCTCCTTGTGGAAGGCAGTCTGAATCAGAGAAGCTTTTCTTCCAGCAGAAACTGAACATTATTATTTTCCTATCTGGGGAAAAACTGAAGAACGGGATTTTGCGTTTTGGCAGTCAGAGGTACGGGTGAAGGTTTGTGGCTTATAAGGCCTGGATGTACTTTTTACTGGCTTTGATGGAACTGCAGAGAATGCAGGAACGCACATGAGCCAAATAGCCAAGAAAGTGAAGACTCTGCTTTAATAAATACCTGGAGTTTTCAGGTGGTTTGTATGGCTGGACTATAGAATGTGCTCACCTTGAAGTTCAGTAGGCAGGGATTGAAGTCCTGTAGCCTGTAGGCTTTGCCATGCCATGGTGTTTGCTGGGCTAAGCAGTGGTTGGTGTCCCTATTTCCTTGTCCTGTGCTGTGAGTTCTTCCTTAGCCCATAGTCTTATCTGGGAGATCTATGAAAAAGGATCATTTCACTTTGCTGCTGTCTATCTGTGAAAATGCAAGTGTTTGAAGAGAAAAACAGCATGAGTGCTGGGCCCTTAGATTCTGCATAAATGAAAAAAATATTAACACAAAAGCAAAACTTAAAAAAAAAAAAAAAAAAAAAAAAAAGGCAGGCCAAAAGAACCAACAACCCAACCAACACTTTAAATTTTCAGGTTGAGTTGTTGGTGTAACAATAGTTATGTCTAAATTCAGATGCAGTCAGGAAGGACAGCTCATTGTGCTTGTAAGCCCTAACTCTATTCTAAGTTGTGTGCTACTTGAAGGAAAGCTGGATTTCCATTCCGTTAAATGAACACCGACACAGCAGTGTTTTCATTAGCTGTGGTTTATTACCATAATCTTATTGTTAACTGGCATTGAGGGGAAGAAAAAAATCAGCAGAAGAATTTAGTGAAGTGCTGCAGGATAGACGGGGGAGAATAGGGTTAGAAAGGCTAGCCATGCAAGTTGCTGTTAGTCCAAAGTGATAAAATGTTCTGTTCCAACATTTCAAGTGACCTTCCTATCTGTACTGCTTCAAGATAGAACTGTTGATCTGTGATGAGATGAGCCTATGGAAGGACGAAGCCCTAAGTGGCTTCCCAGCATCTTTCACTGTTTTGTTTTTGGTTTTGTTTTGTTTTTGTTTTGTTTTGCTTTTTTTTACTGATGTCATAATTTCCCTCATCATGATGTTCAACATCCCAGTTCTGGAAAGAATATTTTTTTAATGTATTTTCAGCTGATGATGCTAAAGAAGCTGTGCAGCTTGGGGTAGATGGTATACTGGTGTCAAATCATGGAGCACGTCAGCTTGATGGAGTTCCTGCAACGGTAAGTAGTGGTGCCAATAAGTACCAAGTTCTTTCTGCCTTTGGCTTCCTGCTTCCTTCCACTGAATACACGGTAGCTAGAGGGAAAACCTGTAAATACATGTTGTGTGCCTTAATGCACGAGAAGTAATCTCTTACTACAGTTGTTTTCGTTTTCAGTACTCTCCAGAGACTTCTGAAAAATTGGAGTTACAGAGTAACTAAAGGCAAAAGGAAATTCTCCCCTTTTCTCCTTTCAAATCTTTCCAGTTTTGGAAAAGGTTCAGGGTGATTAAACTAGAATTTTTTCCTTTTCCTTGTCATGCTGCCCTGTGCCCTTCCAAAGGTAAAAATGGATTTGAGAAGTTCTCAACTGGTAGGGGAAAGAAGGAAAGGAAAATGAAAAAGTATGTGTTCAGACTGAAGTAAAACCCCCCAGACTTGAGTCATCGCTCACCCTTCTTCATTTGGAATGATAAAACTGCATAAGTAAAAAGAGCAAAAGGGAGGAGAATCAAAGCCTGGTCATGACTGTTTCAATATCCTTAATGCACTGTTGTTGAAAAACCTCTGGTTCTCCATGAGAATTTTCTGAACAGAGGAGACAGGTAAGCCCTTTTCCACTGCAGGATGTTTTGCATGCAAAGATTTAGCAACTCAGTTCAGTCTGCAGTCAGCTTGGCAGGCCCACTGCTGTGTCACCCCTTCCTCTAGAGCTCTTCTGCTCTCTGAGTCTTTCCTAGGGGACAACTGAAGGTTTCCCCATTCAATTCAATTCACTTGCTGATTTTTTTGAAAGTCTTCAAGTGGACCCACTGGTTCTTTTTATGGAGTGTGGGTGCCAAAACTTCTGAAATCAATTTTCTTAAACTTCTGTTCTCTTCTTGTTCTCTGCAGAGAATGTATGCTTCAGTTTCACCAAGAGTATTGGAAAATCTTGTGCAAGTCTGTGTGAGGTAACCCAGCAGGAAAAATGTGAGGACATTAAAAACAACAACAAAAAAAAACCAACAACAACAGAAAAATTTTTTTGAAAAATGAGAGCTCAAAAACTAGGAATTATTTTCTACAGAAGCAGAACTGAAATTAAGCTTGTGAACTACTTTTTTGAGTTTCTTCTTTACAGTGTCATTGTGTAGAGAAGATGACGCTATCAAAGCCAGTGTATTCACTGAATTTCATCTTACAGAGAGAAGTGTATTTCAAAATGCAGTTTCCATGAGAATATCTGTATTGAATCATTCAGAGTTTCTGTTTTTGAAGTATAATTTCATGGCTTTTCAGAACATGAAATGGTTAATAGTTACACATAGAGGAAATCTATGTTTTAATTACGGTTTGCATCATATTTTAGTTATTATAGCACTTTAATGTTGATACAGTTTGTCAGGATGTAGAAAGTAGTTTCTGTGTATGGAAATAAATCCAAAATATGTTTGGCAAGAGAGGAAAACCAGAGGGAGGGGAAAAAATCACAGCCACTGCCAAACTTCAAGAAAATTTTAATCCAAATCTAAAAACAAACTGCGCTTTCAAGTTTTTTCCCCAATCTCCTAGTCACTTTTTATCCATTAGAAAGGAAATGAATTGCATCCGTGTTTGAAAGACATAAATTGGTGTGCCTTTTATTTTACTACTGCACACTCCTTAGTACTTGGCTTCTCGTCTTGTGTCTTTCCTGATATTCATGAATAGGAACTGTATGCATGTCGTAGGAGCAGCTGCTATGTAATTAATGCTTGAGCGTTGAATTCAAGAGGCTCATCTCTTCTTGAAACTTCTTGCACAGTGTTGACATTTTAGCTAATTCCGTAGTTACTTTCCTGTACCTTAGGAACATCCATTCGTCTTTGCTTTTACCACTTGTGCAGGGAGTAAGTGCAAATCAGTGAGAGAAGTAAATGCGTTCGGAAGAAGAAAGTGTTTCTCTCCTTGTTCAAAACACAGAGCAAGTTGAATTTTTCTTAGGTAAATAAGTTCCCTGTACAACTATTCCTGAGATCAAGATGTGTTCAAATGAAAAAAAAAAAATGTTCTTTTATTTTTCTGACAGATCTCTTACTCATTATCTTCAGACACAATGCCTACCTTTGTGTTCCTTAATGCCAGCCAGTGCCTTTTATTAATGAATAGTGAATTTAAGCAAGAAAATGAAGATGCCTGTTTAAGAAGTCAGTGACTGATTTCCTAAGTGATTTAATTCCTAAATTACTGAACACTGAATGTTAGGGGAATTATATGAAGGAATAGGGTCTCTTCCGTGTCTGCTATTTCTTATATTCCTCCTAATAGCTTGTACAGCCTGTGTTGGATGCACGTCATGAGATTAGATGGACATTTTATGTGACCCTGCTGATTCTCATTTTAAGTGGCTATCCAAATAAATTTGACCTGTGTATATATCTGCTAACATCCCAGGACACACAAAGCTGTATTTATGCACACAATCAGGCAACTAATTGCTCACTTAGCTTTTTTGAAGCTTGAATCCTGTACTTAATAATTTATTCAGAAGATAAATAGGGTTACAGAAACTGTATTTCTGATTTTACTCTTCTAGATTGATATCTTGCCTGAAATTGTTGAGGCTGTGGAGGGGAAGGTGGAGGTGTTCCTAGATGGTGGCGTAAGAAAAGGCACAGACGTACTCAAAGCATTAGCTCTGGGTGCCAAAGCTGTATTCATCGGCAGGCCTCTCATCTGGGGCTTGGCTTATCAAGTAAGTAAAAGAATAAAATCTGAAAAATATGTTCATAGATGCCTATACTAGCTTTTATGCTTTGTGTATTCACGTGTATGTGAATCTCTTACGTGTGTGTATCCAGATCATACAATAATCTAAAATTTGCTATCAAATACTTAGGAGTCAGAGTTGTCCATGAAACTTTCCTGATATGTATTTATAGCTTGTCTATAGACACAAATACACATAACAATGCACGCTGCATCCTACTTGCTTAGGGTGAAGAAGGAGCAAAAGAAGTTCTCCAGATGTTGAAGGAAGAGTTTCGACTGGCAATGGCACTGACAGGTGAGACATCAGTGTTTCCTCTTAGTAATAACCACCTCTCCCTCACATTTTGTCACAGCTCTCATTCGCCCTGTGCAAGGCACCATAGTAACCTATAGAAGAAATGAATATTTGCAATATAAGCAGGTTAAGCTGCAGAGAGATGAAAAAAGAAACCCAACTTTATATATAGGATATCTATATATGTAGACAGAAAGAGTAAGTAAAAAATGAAAAAATATTTTGGGTTAGAAGAGCCATAGGTCTATAGAAAAGTGATGGCAAATCCTCAGTCACTAAGGGGTGGATTAGATCTGACTGAACATAGCTTTCTATGGAAAAGAAAATGAAGCAACTTAGCATGGGGTTTGGCATGAGGCAATTGGAAATTTCGACTGATATTCCTTGGCCACCATTCCCAAATTTCAACTGATATTTGTTGGATATGAGGAAAATGTCTTCTACATTGAAGCATTGAAGGTAGTGTGGTACTGGAACAGGCTGCCTAAAGATGTGGTGGAAGCTCCATCCTTGGTAGCATTTTAGGCCAAGCTGGATGGTGCTCTGAGCAACCAATGGTGCTGTGCAAGTCCCTGTTTGTTGCAAGGCAATTGGAACAGAAGATGTTTAAAGGTCCCCAATTCTATGATTCTTTGTAACTTGCTCTCTAGGATGCCGGACTGTAAAAGAGATTGGCAGGACATTGATACGAAGACATGAAGTACTACTTTCCAAGATTTAGATCTGAAGATGATCCCCTCGCTTGTTGCCTGTTGTACAGAAAGCACACTAGATAAAAAAACAACGCTGTTTGCTCTTTGGGTCTCATGCTGCAATTCTGACTGAAAAGGAGTCTTCTGTAAGCAACTGCTTGTTGAAGAAGTTATTTGCTTCAAGTTTTACAGCCTATTCTGCTAGGCTTTTATGGAAAGCTGCTGTGCTGTTAGTTGTGATTAGAGATGAGTCTTTATGCAAGACCAAGACAGAAACTTGAAGGTGTTTTGCAATAAACGCTGATATTAGCTTTCAAACCTTTTTAGTACTAAAACCATAAAACCATAAAAGAACATGTTCTGATGGCAAACAGCTATCAAAATGTAGAAAATTAAAATGTAGAAGGTACTTTTCTCACTGGTTAGAGAAACTACAGTGTAGATCAGAAATTAAATCTTGCTCTATTATGAATATAATTTCTTCTCCCTAATAGTGATGTGCTGTTCCTTAATAAGTATGTGGACTTACATCATGTAGGCTGTAGAAACTCAGAGTTCTTAGTTATAAAGAACTGCACAGCAAAGTGAAATTGGAGAAGTGACTCAAAGCCCTTTGCAATCAGACAACCACTGTGCTTGTGAATCAGACACACATCAGATCTTTGGCTTGTGCGAATCCTGGTAGGTCTATTGCCTTCACCAGTATACCCAGCTGGATCGCTACGTTATGTTTTTAAACTGGACTCAATTCTTCACAGTTTTTTAGATTATTGGATAAATCTGTAGCATCTTGCATCAGCACTGCAGAAAGGTTTTTAAAATCTTGTTCTGGAATTATTTTTTTTTAAGCCACCATTACACTGTTCCACTGTCACTGATATCACTGTCTGTACCATTTGTTTCTCATCAATGTCAGGAGAACTTGTGCATTCTGATTCTCCCTTTTTGCTTTATTTGAAATATCATGTATTGAGTTTTAGAGGCAGTTTTGTCATAAATGATGGAATAGTACAATATGAACTAAAGCAGAGGCTGGAACTCAAAACAGGGAGAAAACCCAAAAGGCCACATGCTTGCCCTTCAGTTGTAAAATTTGTTCTCTTATTTACTGCAGATTGTAGTGTGTTGTGTAGGGGTTGCATAGCAACAAAATAAAGTTTATCTGTGTAAGGAAATATGAATGTTTCTCAGAGCATAGAGAAGCATAATTTCTGCTGTTTACTGCACTTATCATATCTGTTGCAATGTGGACTGTGTCAGATGTCAATTACAGACTAACTTCAGAAAGACTGTTTATTTTAGATAATATAAATGTTACTTAAAAGATAGGGGATAATATCTTATGTTTACATGTTTAAGATCCATTTCTAAAGTTTAGAAGATGCAGTTTCCTGTCTTAGCCCCAACCAAATTCAAGGAAAGTTCTGTAACTCTGTGGTCCAGGGTAAATTCTGCTGGTGAGGAAACTGATTTTGTTATTTGTGCAAAATTAACTATTTCTAGTTCCTTTGGGCAAATGGGCTTGTATTCGTTCTTTCCTGCTTGTTATCTGAGAGTTGCCTGTCTTCCTTTTCAATCCTGGTAAGAATATACATGCATTAAAAAACAAAAACAGAGTCAAGTACTGAAAGGCTGTGAGACAAAGTTGACAGAAATAAATTAGTTTCTGTTTAAAAGAAGTAGTATATATATTTCACAGTCAAGGGAATTTTACTAGATTTGGAGACAACCAAATACAATTGCTTCTTGAAATGCTAATGAAACTTTTTTGTGTGTTTTAATTATTTGTCATAGAATTGGGGAAGATCAATGAGACTCAGCCATTCTGAACAATGCTCAATCTAAGTAAAACTTTAGCTCATGGTACCTGAACATACAGCTGAGAAGGAAGCACCCCATGCATAACATAGTAGTGGTGGATCTTTCTGGAGGTTGAGAATGTTTTTGAGGATAATTTATGCAATATAACTAAAGAAAATAATAAGCCTATAGGAGGCAGAGAAGTAGAACAGAACAGTTTGTACATTTTGCATTTGTGATGCTCTAGTATGTCTTCCTATCTCTGTGTCAAATAATGAACACACCATCTTGTTTAACTGTAACATTATTTTCTGACTTTACCTTTGCTCTAAGCCATAGATACCAAAAGAAAATGGCTTCATAGAAAAATATGTGGTAAGGGAAGTACATTGAGTCATATCTATCTACCCAGAAAGCCAGCAGTCAACTGATGTGCTGGGTGACTGAAAAAAATCAACCCACCTGATAGGCTGGTAACTGAACATTATCTGAATGGGGTTTTCTAACTGCTTTTCAAGTAGACCGGAATATTCTGTGGAAAAAATAGAACTGCAACTCTTAGTGGATTTCTCCACTATTTTCTGAAGAGAGAAGATCCAGAAGCAACACCTGAGAGTGTACAAGATGAGGATCCTGGACTTTTGAGAAAAAAAGTAGTATCTCATAAGAGCCAAAGATGTGAAGCAGGTTTTTGTATACTGTGTGGAGGTTTTTTTGTGTTGTTTTTTTTTTTTTTTCCTTTTTCCCCCATATTCAGCCTGTCTGGATTTCTCTGGTGCTGTCAGTTTGAAATATTTTCTGAAAATGTCACCATAAAGTTATCTTCTTGGCCTCTGTAAGCCCATAGAGGATTAAAACCCACTAAAGAGAGTACAGAAGAGCACAGCTCTCTAGCAAGGCTATGTAGATACATGTGTGAAGCAGAGAGGCTTCAGCTCTGGTGCGGACTCCCAGAGACTCATTCCTAGCAACACGCGCTATCAAAGACAGTCTGTGTCAAAGTGGAGGGTCAGTGAAAGAGCCTGTGGCACTATCTGAACATCTGGTAGAGCGTATCAAAGCCAGACATGCAAGGAGCAGGGCCTTCCTAAGAGAGGAAAAAAAGCCAACGTGCTTCTGCAGAAGATCTTGAGTTGCAACAAGAAGGTGGGTGTGTATTTGGAGGAGAGATTTGGCTGTATCAGGAATATATTTGCTGTTAGAAATGGGCAGTTATGTACAGCAGAAGAGAGTGCTGAAGCATAAGGAGTACAGGACTGAGGCATAAGATGGCAGCAGTCAGCTGAGGATTGTGAGACCGTCTCACTTTTCAGATGTAAAGGGAAGGAGATTAGAGTAGCTTTGGGATAGGTTTTACATCCTCGCTTAGCCCGTCAGTTCTTTGAAGTAGAGACCTGCTGCTTTTTGAACATTCGGAGCCTGCGCACAGGGTGGGGAATCCACTAAGTAAATAATAGGAGTCATAATTCAGTTCACTTGAGCTGAAGAGCTGTGAAAGACATGATCTGTTTTCTTGTGACCTCCGCCTCTTGCTGTAACTCTGGGACACATTATTGTATTTTGCTTTTTACCCATGGCCAAGTCAAACAAATAGCTCTGGGACTGGTAAGAACTCCACCTCCATCCCCGATTTTTCAGGTGAAGGATGAAACTTGTCTGTCTTACTGAGAATTTCTGAACATAAATAAACAGATACTCAGAGAAACTTGATTTGATAAACGGGCAGTGTAGGTCAGGGCCTGTTGGATATGTAGGTGACACAAAGATGAAGCAGAACTGGGGAAGTAGGCAGGAATGGCTCTGCTTTTCTTGGCTTCTCAAATGGTTTTCAGGCTGAAATCAAATACTGAGAGCACGAGGAAAGCTGGCTTCTTAAGTCATGATTTTGCACTGAACCTCACTGTAAGGATATCTCTTATAAAGCTACTTTTGATGTGGAAATTTGGCTCCAAACCACACTGAAGACCATTATAAATAACCACTTCATCACAGGACACACAGAAGTTGCCTTCCTTGAACACTCCTAGAAAGCAAGTCTAATATTATTGAGCCATAACCTCAGCTAGTGTAAATCAGAGAAGCTCTATTGACTTCATTAGCTCACACTGATTTACACCAGCTGTGAGTGTGGCCTCACAATATAGGAAGATATGTCAGCTTTTAAATTCTATCACTGAGTGTTGAAGAAAACTGTTTTTAAAACAAGACTGCCAATCCCAAATTTGGATACTAATGAGACACGGTACTGTAATTGTTTCATGATGCCTGTATGCTCCATTTTGTTTTAATTTTGCATTGCTTCTGTTTTTCTTATCTCTTGCCAAACAGAGGGAGAGTATCACATATGTTACATTCATAAGAAAGATGTTTTGCTGCTTTGAGAACATGTCCTCCAGATGCAAAATGTTTTTTTGTTGTCATTCAGCTTCTTCCTTTGCATAGGTTTCTGGTTTATGTGCCAACATTAGACTGCTCTAGAGAGTCAGCCTCATGCTTCTCCAGGGCCCTGGAGTTCTTGAAGGGGCACCAAGAGGCTGTCCCAGCCAAACCTCAAAGATCTGATTTCCTTGTAGTGGTTTTCAGCTCCAAAATCATTATTGCAAATGAGCAGTGGGAACTGTGCCTAGGAGCACCTTGATAGGAATGACCCTGAGACCATCAATACATTTCTGTAACATTTCTGTTGGGTGTTCATGGGGTTAACTTCAGGAAGTAATCCATTGTACTTGCACCTTTATGGTATGCAAGGCTGGTAGATACATACAGATGGTTTGTTCAGGAAAGGGGAAAATAAATAATCTTGACAATGATTAATATTTGTTATTTCATTACAACAGCAGCTGTAAGTTCTAGTCAAAGTCAAGATCTCACTGTACAATGCAAAGATGCTTCTATGCCATCAGCAGTCTCTGCACAACACAGTCTGAAGTGTGAATTGACAGACACAGAAAAAGAATGTTTTTATTTCTGTTTTATAAAGAGACTAACCAGTTTCACCAGCACTCGGTCACAGGATGGAACGAAGTTCCTTGAACGTCATTTTCACCACCTTAATTATAAACCTTGCTTTTCTCCCTAAGGCAGATGGCTTTGAGGTGAACATTACATATTGCAAATACCCAGCATCTTTGGCAAAGGTCCAAAGATGCACTCTGGAACAGTGAGTAGACATGGGTCACAGAAGAGCTCTTAACCTCTGTGCTTTTCACTGTGAGAGGAGGGCTCCTGATGCACCTGGGACCATATCTAATACTCTGCCAGTTAGCCAGACAAACTCTGGCTGTGGTGGCTTTGCAGGAGACTTAATATTTCTTCCTTGTTATCTGTAAATCAATCAAACACTGTGATTTTCTTGGATTCTCCCCAGGCCCTTCAGTATGCTAACACCTTTAGTTCTGTGTACTTACCTTGAAGTTTCCTGTTAGGAAGAATCGTAATGGATATAAAACACATTTTGCTCATTACAAGAGTTCCACAGACAAGGTATTTATGGTTAAGCTAATTTTACATGAGATTTGTCCAGTTTTCAAGATTGGCCATTAATTCTACAAAGAGAGATGCAAGAATCCTACAATAAGCCAATGTGGTAGAAAGTTAACTTTTGTACGAATTCAGGATATGTGTACTTTTCTATTTGGTGAGGCTAGCAAATTAATTCAGCATGTATTTTTACTGGACCCAGAATTCTGCCATGGATATGAGATAATTTTCATAACAGGTAAGATGTGAATGATGTCTATGAATAGGAATGTGATCAGCAGCAGCATCTCACATACCCAAGCTCTCCTCAGAGTCTGTAGTGTAAGTAGAGTCTAAGTTAGTGCTGACTCTAGAGCTATACATCTACAGCCATCAGATGATTAACAAAAAATATTGAATTTGGTATAGTCAAAACCTTTCGACAAGCATACATTTTTCACCCAGAATCCTGCAAAAAAATTTTTTTTGCATGCCCTTCATACAAGAAACTCCACTCTGTAGAAAGAGTTACAAGCAAAGAAGTCTATATTGCAAAAAGAGAACTTGATTACAGTTTTAAAATGACACAAATATTATCTGGTAATAAAGACATCTGCAAATAAAGAATGGCAGTAACTTACCTCATTTTCTTCTTGCCTGATGATTATAGCTTTTTCAGTGGTTGCAAGTTCAGGGGTTTCAGCTCTGCGTTGTGACCTTACATCTAATTGTGTCCTGCCTAGTGCTGCCATGTCAGCCTTTGCTGCAGCGTCCTTGGTTTTGACCTTGCAAGGAAGAAGTAATAAAAGAGATGCTTAGGATCTTCGGGTAGAGTCTTTGTCACTTGCGTATATTTCCAAATGAAGTGTGGATGTGTGTGGGTATTGGTGGATGGCATTTGCCCAGAAGATAAGAG